ATTTTACCGTACGTAGAATTTTAATTTCTTACTTATTTTGTTTATTGCTAGTTTCGACCCCTGTTTCATGGACTGCAAGGCCTGTTTCAAACGTCGTGCTACTTCCGTGCTAAGCTGGCTCGACTGTAGCTCGACTGCAGCACGACTGCAGCACGACTGCAGCACGACTTGGTTTCAGACGTCGAATTTAATTCAGTCGAATAGAATGGCTTTTGCCGAAAACAAAACACAAAAATAAAGAAAGGATTTAGCAAACTTTTAAATAAATTCTAGTATTCATAGTTTATGAATTAAGTTCGGCGCGGCAGTAGCGCGACGTTTGAAACCAAGTCGAGTTACTGCCATGCCTTGCCGTGTTACACGGCAGTAGCAAGACCTGGTTTCCAACCTCGCGCTACTGCCGTGCTTAAGTCGAATTTAACTCGATCAATTAAGTTCGGCACGGCAGTAGCACGACGTTTGAAACAGGCCTAAAACACCTGTCATATAATGGCAGTATCTTTATTTTTTTATACATTTGCTGTTTGCCACAGTCCACTGCTTTAGATCTCTTCCGGGTCAACTGACTCCGATTGCATAACAAACACACAAACAAAACTTTAATCAAAGGCACGTTTAACTTGGTGCATGAGTTATTTTGAATGCTTCAGTATAACCGAATAAACAATCTACTGTTTTGTTTTGTGCGAAATTTCTGCGAAATTGGGTATTGCTGTACATTAATGAAAACGCGAACTGCTGCGCACAGCGGTTTCGCTAAAGCCCACGCGTGCTTCGATCTTCCTGAATATTGAATGAGTCACCAATTTGTATTTCAAAATTGTGAAATACTACATTCTGTCCGAGGTCTGTATCATAAAAACAGCGCCTCATAGTTCTGTTTCACCTCAGATGTGATGGTTCACACGCCCCCAGATTTGTTAGCAAGATTTTGTAAAGCAAACTTGTCGGACGCAAAAAGATTCGGCTTGATTTGTTTTCCAGGCCTAATCTACTGTGATCAAGAGCCATTGTGGCTCTTAATTGTGATCGAAGATGATTGCTTTATTTGGGTGTACATATAAGGCTATCAACTCGATGTAAGATTTGGTTCACTCTTGGACTGTTTGCAAATTATTTTTCTCTAAAATCACTAAGCCTTTCCCTCAAAAGTCACATGAGTGTGCTCTAAAGTTAACTGATTTGTGGAATACAAGTTTATTGTCTGATTTAAATTACAAATTTATTAATGGGAGCTTCGCCCAAAAGTTTAGCCCTGGCTAAATCTATATTTTAAAAATAACTCATGCACAAAATTTGCACGTGAAGGGTTGTTTACTATTTACATGGGCAAACCGGTCGGTCCACGGTTTAGGCAACTAAATTCAGGCCTTGAAAATTTCGCCCCGGAATCGCGTTTACCATTTGTACGAATCAATATGCCATTTCCGAGTTCCAAAGAATCACACTTTCAAAGCGAGGCTAAAAAAATAATCTTAATTATGATGCAAATAAAACTCATTTTCACAACAAAGGTTTCGCACTTAGCCTCGTTTTGAAAGCGAAATTTTTTGGAACTCGGAAATGGCCTCTTCCATTTACCGGAAAACGACCGCGAAGGCCTGAA